TACACCGGTGATAAAACTTTATCCACCCGGTCCCCTAGGAAATAAAAGCAGTCACCGCTCAAGGTACATACAATAACCCTCTGACGGTAGCAACCTATAACAGCCCGGTATAACGATAACTAGTCCTTACCCAAAATAACATCAAAACTAGACATGTCAAGCAATACAAATGAAAAAGGTAATCGATGACCGGCAACCTCGATGCCATAACCCTGACCCCCCTATTTCAGAATAACTTCACCACTAATAGGTGACTCTACATTAATAGGAGATGCTAACTGTGCCAACTCCAACTCTAATACCGATGTAAATGCAGATAAGATAAAAGAATGAGATGCACCCGTGTCAATCAATACATTAGCAACTGAATTACAAAACAAGAAGGTATCTTTCACTATCGAAGACGCTGGTATAAGATCTGGCGCCGTAACAGCATATATATGCCTGGTAAGTCTCTACTCAACTTGCTCACCCCTCGGAGCATAAGCCTGATGCACTGAATAAGCCGAAGAGGCTCCTTGATTGGCCCTCGAGGCCTGTGCTGGTTGGAGACTCTGAGTCTGCCTCGAATTGGATGCACCAGATGTGATACCCAACTAAGGGCAAAATCTCTTCAGGTGTTTCGCCTACCCACATTGATAACAAATGGGCGGCTGCCCTCTACTCTGACTCTGGTCCTGAGAGCGAGCCGAAGATGAAGTTGCTTGCTGCCCTCCATTTCTCTACGGGCAAGTTGGAGACTTGTGGCCCAACTGACCACATTTAAAATAAGTCACATCTCCCTGACCACCTCTCATAGAACCCGAACTCGGCACTGGAATGGTAGACCTCGTCTGCACTCTCTAAGACTGTTGAGAATTAGAACCCCTCTGTCTTTTACCTTCCCCCTGACTACCCTAACTTCTCCTAGAGCCCCTCATCCTTTCCTCCTCAGCTTGCATAATGGTCTCAAGATGGACCGCTGCTTCTACAAGGTGCCCATAGTCTCTAATCATGGATTCGGCCACTCTGAACATGAGCTCGGTCTTCAACTATTTCTCAAACTCCAAGCAACGGCGCTTTTTAGTTACCGCCAACTCGGGTGTAAACCTAGACAAGCTAGTGAATGTGGCCTCAAACTCAGCCACTGGTGTATTCAACTGCACCAGCTTGGAAAACTGGTTCCTCAACTTCTCCCTAACTATGAGAGGAAAAAACTTGTCCTGGAAGGCGTTGACAAAAGCCTCCCAAGTCCCTCCAATGCATCCCCGTGCATACTTCCACCACTGACTCGTATCTCCCTTCAGCTAGAAAGACGCCAAGGTCACCCTCAACTGGTTGTCCTCGATCCCAAGCATCTCGAACATCTTCACTACCTGTTCTAGCCACTCATCTGCCTTTAATGGTTCCTTAGGATCGCCCAAAAACTTATCTGGATTTGACCAGAAAAACTCTCTCTTCAAAAAAGGAGGCCCTGCCTTAGCTACTTGGGCTTGGACTTGATTATCAGCTCTGAGAATGTCCATAGATTCTCGCAATGCTTCGGCCATTTCGCGAGCTAAAGTGTCCATGGCCTGTTAACTGACTGGCTCGGCCACGTTGGCTTGACCAACTCTCTCATTCTGTGCTAGAATATCATCCGGTATAGGCACCTTATGCCTTCTAGGCCTACCACGCCTACCACCACCATGTCCATGCCCTGACATCCTAATAAAGGTAACGAAAGAGATTAGCACATTTACAAATGTGCCGAAGCTAACTCATTCATATCCTAAAACGTTGGACAACAATAATTCACTTCATATAAGCACATAGTCACATAAACACATACGAATTTCCTTCATGGATAATGTACGTCTTGCGGCGTTGCTAGAATTCCAATTAGAAACAGCAGTGATTAGGTACTCTTCTAATAGGACTTCCAGAAACTTGTAGACCCGATCAACATCTTAGGAACTGAATCCCATACCCATATAATCACATAAGCATGTTATCATAAAAGCACATATTGTTCACACTTAAGTCTCTAGCAAGCGAGACAAACCCATTGTGGTACTAACCACTTCCTATGTATCCAAAATATCCAAGCCCGGTACGCTCTGATACCAGGTTGTAACACTCTCAAAAGTATGCTCTAAATATAACCCGAAAGCATACATAAATGACAGCAAAATCAGAGTATAATATTCTTTTATTTCATAACATTAATAGTACAAAAGAGTTTAACGTAAATAGACGCCTTTCAGGCTTACACCTTTCGAAGTCTTGGCTTGGTTACAACAAAAGTGAGACTATCTCATACAATTTTAGCCCTAGGCTATACAAAAGTGAAACAAAACAAGAAGCTTTTGTTTCCCAAAAGTCCCTCAAATGCTATTGCCTTGGTGGAGGTATGCCATCATTATCTGAAAATATTTTTCCCAAATAGGTGAGCCATAGCCCATCAAGAATAATCTAACACAATATATAAGGTTTAACAAAGGTATAAGTGCAAAGCACATTTACAATACCAAAAATAAAATGATCACATTTGTATAGTCATAGAACACCAAGTTCATATATCATTTCATTTCCCTTCAATCAGTTTCAATACATGAGCTAATTTCATTATTTTCCAATAATCCAAATGAGACTACAACTTAATGGTTCAACAATTTCACAAACAACACGCAAACACTTCAAATTACCATTTTATAGATATTTCGTTCGTAGGATCGATACCCATGTATAAATTTCGGGACTTTCAACTAGGACACTCTGGCCAACTTAATTATAATGGAGTCCATCCCCTTTCTCCTCCCAAACAATAGAGTCCATCATCTTTCTCTCCCCAAACAATGGAGTCCATCCCATATCTCCTCCCAGGCAATCATACATATACAATGTATATAAATACATAATCACATATGGAGTACATCCCATTTCTCCTCCCAAATAATCATACATATGCAATGTATATAAATATAGTCATATTCAACGACAACCAACAAAATATTAACTTCAATTCACCTAATCCACATGCAATTTCTATAACAATCAAAGCTATTCTCCACCGATAGCCCAATACAGATATTTCTAAACAGATATAGAATCTCGAGACAAATAATTTATTCAAAATTTCCAAAGGTATGAAGTATTACATACTCAATTCCATCATCTATTTCAACACTCGCTCAATTCCATGTTTACAACAGCAATCTCAATTATTTAAGCCAAATGAATATGATAATCATTTTAGGGCAAAAATCTCCCCTTTCAAAATATTAATCAAAGTACCAAAGTCAACCATTTTGACATAACATGACTTCATTTTCAAACCCTATGTTCTTTTATTTCATTTCCACAAAAAAACCCTTCTTTTCCATTTACACTCGCACCCTAGGTTTGTTCAAAATGCTCCCAAAACCCACTATTGTTACACAACCACAAATAACTAAGTTAAAAATCATAACAAAGTGTAAAAAATCTCTACCTCAAAGAGAAGACGAGCCAAGCAAGAGTGGAACTCCAAGGACATCGAAACCCACTTCTATTCGGATAAAAAGGAAGATCTTGAGACGCTCTACCTTCTTCTCAAAGGCACTAGGGTGAAAATTCCAATGGATCTAGATGAAATAGTAGAGAGAAGGTGAGTTTTAGAGAGAGAAACTCAAGATCTAGATTTTTTGAAAGTTTTAGAGAGAGAGAGGAATGAAAAGATGGTTTAAAATGTCTTCTTCACAGACTGTTATAAACGCAGTCTGCTCAAGCGTGGAAAGCTTCGCTCGAGCATCAGACACAAAGCTTTGCTCGAGCGTGGGATACGCACTTCTAGAAGATTTGCAGACGAAGGACCCTACTCGAGCGTAAGACTGGATGCTCAAGCGTCCAATGCACTCTCTCAATATTTGCAGATCTGCAAAAATACTGAGAGTTGACAAATCCCGCTAGAGTGCAAGAATGGCCACTCGAGCGAAGGAGCAAAATTTGTGAAGCCCGCTCGAGCGCAAGAATGTCTACTAAAGTGAAAGAGCTAAAATCTGGGCATCACAGGTTTGTAAACACAATCAACTAACCTGTTCCAAACGTACAGTTACAACTCGATAATCAAAATAGAGGGGAGACAAGAGAAACAAGATATGAATAACCATTCAAAATTATACGAACCCGAGTCCGGAATACAACAAGTGACAAGTCAAAATCGGAATCACTATATTTTTAAAATTATATTTGCTGTTTATTTTTTATAAAACAAATGTGATTCAAACATGTAAGTATTGATATCCAATCAATCTGATTTTTTTTCCTCTCATAGATGATCTATTTAGTTAACACAACAAAACAAACGTTTGGATCAATAAAAGAGTTCAAGATGAGCCTATAGAGCCTTTTAATCTAGGATTGGACTTTTTTCTGTTCAAATATGAATTTAAGAGAACTTGAGAGGTCTGTAGAGCCCAACATAAGCCTCGTTTTAATGATCTGAATCGTTTATTTTATAAAACTTTCAATGTATATCATCTATGAAAAAAATTAGATCGATTCGATAATCATAACCTTTTTATTTTATTGTATTTATCTCCAAAAAATAGATGACAAGTATATATTTAAAAATAGACTATCTATTTTACGTTATATTTGAATCATAGATTTGGATAAAAATTTAAAGAGAGAAATAAAAAAAGTAAAGAAATTTGAATAAAATTTAAAAAGAAAATAGTAAACAGAAAAAATTTAGCTTATATTTTTTTTCACATTTTTCTTTTTTCTTTGTTAAATCCTACTCAAATTTATAACTATGATTTTCTTACCCCACAAACACAAATATTATTCAAAACGGTGTCATGGGTCCCCAAGATAATACAACAATAGTGAGGCCCATATCCGATATACTTCCCAAATCAGCCCATTTCAAGCCCCAAAAATCCATTTCATCGGGGCCGTTGATCCAAACTCGCCCGACCCGATCAAAGCTTAACAATTAAGATATTCTTCAGTGGATTCCGATATCCACCACGTGTATAAACACCTAAAACAGAAATGTAGATTCCCGTGTTCATTCCCCAACCACTACGTACACACCGCGTAATCGTAAAGCATAGTTCGATCATCGAAGGCCCAAAGCAAAAGTCAAAGGTCAAATCGAATCACTATAGAGAGAGAGAGAGAGAGAGAGAACGAGCGATCAGATTGAGTTTTTAGAGAGAGATTCACCGGAATTCACTTGGCCTTTGTTGATCGAGCAAGATGAGTTTCCTCTTCGGCAATCGGAAGACTCCCGCAGGTTCATATTTCGATCTATATATGAAATTGATTTGAATCGAATTATATAGATTGAAATTTGATGAAACATGGTATTAATTCATGATTTCCTGCACACACACAAAAAAAAAAAACTCAAATTTTTGTTTTCATTGTTGTGTATGGATGTTCTGATCATGATCATAAGTGGCATATGCTATCTGAAGTTTGGGTTTTTCATATTGTTTATCATTTGCCTAAGGTTGTGCTGATCAATTTCTGTAATTGCTGAGAATTGGATGGAAAAAACTGGAAAAGGGTTTAAATTGATAAAAGTGAGAAGTTCCTAAATTGAATCAGGTGTATATTTGTGTATTTGAAAATTTGAGTCTGTAAAATTGCCATGTTTGTTGTTACTGTTTGATGATGCATGCCTTAATGAAAAATCAGTACGAAAGAGGGAAAAAAAGGAGAGAGGAAGAAAACCAAATTTTGAGAGGATTGAATCTTGTGTGTGTTCAACTTGAGCTAATGGAGAATCTGACTTCTAAGATACTTGGAAACAATCTGATGATTGACTCAGAAGCTGACTTGTGAACTACTATACAGTCTACCAATCAACTAACGAACAAAACTACTTGATTTCAACCACTAAATAACTCCTAAAAGCTTGATTTAACCTAACAGTATTAATATAATATGTATTAGTTTCAATGCTATAAACCCCTCGCTTTGTAAATTACAAGTGTCCAGTTAAGCTGGAATAATGTAGATGATATTGTAATATAAACTAAGTTCTTTTGTTTGCCCTCACTTGAATTGGTGTCAAGGTTTCAAAAAGCGGTGTTACGTAACGGTTGCAATGGTAAGCGCGCTATTTGTTGCACCTGCTTTTGCATTGTGACAGGAATTCACATGTATAATAACTATGTTGGTGTTACGTAATAGCCGTAGCGGTACCGTAACGGTGTGTTATACACTTTTACAATATTCTAAACAATTTCATTTCCTTTAAAAAAAAAAAAAAAAAAAACATACAAAAAAAAGAACGAATACTCAATTGATTAAAGTCCAAAGAAAAAATCTTGTATGAATTTTTTTCTTTATAATTTATTTTTTAATTTTTATTTTATTACATTAGCATTTAAAATGAAAAATATATAAACAGTGGTTGTATTTATTTTTATAATCATTTAATTTAATTTGTAATTGTAAATATTTTTTATTTTTTTACTGTAATGTGTTGTCTAAAAGATGTTTAAAAAAAATTAAAATTAGTAGCTCAAAAATAACTTTTGTTTATGGCATAATTTTTTATTTGTATAATCATTTCATTTAATACTTAATTGTAAATAATTTTATTTAGTTAGTTGTAAAGTGTTGTCTAAAGAAATGTCTTTTAAAAAAAAAATAATAGCACAAAAATAATTTTATTTATGACACAATTTTTATTTTTATAATCATTTCATTTAATAATTATAAATATTTTTTTTATGTAGTTAGTTCAGGTATTGGTTAAAAATAATTTTGTAGACACTTAAAATTAATTATTCTTAAAGTCATTAACTATTGAAATAAAATATAAAAAATTCGTTTTATTGTGATTTAAAAATATGAAATATATTGGATCATATTTAAAAACTAACAAAAATTGATCAAAATCTATTTTAAACCCCAATAAATGTGATTCTTAAAAAAAATATGCGTATCAGTATTTTTTTTTCAAATTGTGCAAAAAATAAAAAAAAAATCACGGTTCTGATTACCACAACCATTACGCTACTGTCTTTATACCCCACAACTGAGCCACCGCAACCGTTATAACGACCACAACCGCTTTTCGAAACCTTGCTTGGTGTAGACGTGAATCATGTTATGTGACTGGATCATTATGGTAAGTCACTTGTCCTGTTTACAAGCCAAATTTTGTTGGTATTAATGATTGGCATTTTACACATAATTCCCTGCAGCATGTATACATTAAAAGTTTGCACATAGCTATTAGTTCGTAGTGTTTTATAAGAAAAGAGTATATTGGAGTTTTTTTTAAAAAAAATTTATTTATTAATAAGTAGTTTGTAGATTGGTGTAATTGCTACTTGTTATAATTTTCATTTGACAGTCTTGGCTTGCGAGTTTTAATCATCTCTTCACGTCAAAGCCTCACGGCCTAGGCATTAATTTGGGCTTTTTGGGTCATGGTTATCTCTATTGCCCTTTGAGCTTTACTTATCGAAAATATAAGGCCAACAAATTAAGATCATGCAGCTTGAGGTTATGATTACTCCTTGAAAATTGTCATTTATAAGTTGAATTTGTGGTTTTAATCTCAGAACTTCTGCGGGAAAATAAGAGGATGCTGGACAAATCTATCAGAGAAATAGAAAGAGAGAGACAAGGCTTACAAGCGCAAGAGAAAAAGTTGATTGTAGAGATAAAGAAAAGTGCCAAGCAAGGACAGATGGTATGTATTCTTGTTAGATTGAATATCCCTCCTCCTTCCTCTTTTTATATACACATCATATATGATATTTTTTTACAAAAGTACATTAAACTGGTTATTCAATTTTGAGTGCTTGATGTCTTCCCAGGCCCTTTAAGATGAATGACTTTAATTAAGATGTGAATGGAAATTCAGACCATATGTAATTCAAGTTATGTTTGTGCAAGAGTTTCAAATCATCTTGCTGATTTGCCCAATACATAGAGATGGATATTTTGTATTATTAGATGTTGACTTTTGTATGCTGTGTGAAACATTGGAAACTTTATTTTTCTATCGAATCATGAGAAGTTCATTCTGGTCTTAGTTATCTTATGATTTTTAGGATGTACTTATTTTTTTTCCTCCCTCTTTCTGGCAATTAATTCAGCATTATAGGTTAACATTCTTCTAGAGTTTGTGTCATTGTTTTACAATGTGTTGATAGCCTAGGTTTGGCAGAATCATTACATTTATAGCATCATTTGTAAATACAATTGGGGCAAGTTTTGTAGCCATGTAACTTAAGTATATATGTTTGATTTGAAGTGCTTTCGTTACAGGGAGCTGTTAAGGTGATGGCAAAAGACCTTATTAGAACACGTCATCAGGTTGAAAAATTTTATAAGCTAAAATCCCAGCTCCAGGGTGTAGCTCTTAGAATTCAGGTATGTCCTGCTTTTTGTTAACCATTCATTATTCGTATTATTTATTTTTTGATTTATGTCATACTTTCTAATCCATGCTATATCTCTCCATCTTCTGCTTTTTAGAGCTTGAGTCATGTCAGCACATATTTGCCTTTTGGACATTTTGTTCCAAGAAATAATGGGAACATTGTTGCTTTTTAGATGATCAGAAAACGTAGTATAGTCATGTGCTCATATAGTGTTCTGAAATTTCTGTGCACTTACGTGCTGATCTATTAGAAAAGGGTTTGCTATACTTTGTTCCTCTATAGTTGAATTTAGATTGGCTGCCCTTTTATGCTTCTTCACATGGCATTTCAAGTTGGCTTTTCTTTCTTCATCTTCATCTTCATCTTCTTCTTCTCCTCACTCTCTTTTTTTCCCCCGCCCCACCCCCCCTTTTTTTCTCAATTCATGTTTCAATTTTATTTTATTTTTGTTGTACCTTTTTATTTTACTCTAGTAGTCACTCACTAGACTCACTGGGTTAGCCCAGTGCCCAGAACCTCCTGTAGCGCACTAGGTCGTCGCCGGTTTGGCCCCACTAGAACCTCATGTTTCAATTTCATAACCTTTTTTCTTTCTTCTTTCTTCTTTCTTTTTACGCTCATTTTGAGCAAAAAAGAGCGGTGGTGATGATAAATCTGTTTAGCAGTTTACTAAGAAATTCAAAGTTACTTTTTATTTGGGCATGTATAAATTTGATTTGCATCGAATGGTAAGTTTCAGTTCTTCCTTGGATACTCTGGTAAATTTATAAGAACTTTTCTAGTTAGCTTGTTGTGGTACTAAAATTTTGATTTCTTTTATATTTGAAAAAATCAGACTTTGAAGTCAACACAAGCCATGGGGGAGGCAATGAAAGGTGTCACAAAAGCAATGGGCCAGATGAATAGGCAGATGAACTTGCCATCTCTCCAGAGAATAATGCAAGAATTTGAGAGGCAGAATGAGAAAATGGAAATGGTTACCGAAGTCATGGGAGACGCCATTGATGATGCTTTGGAAGGAGATGAGGAAGAAGAAGAAACGGAAGAGCTCGTGAATCAAGTCCTTGATGAGATTGGAATTGATATGAATTCAGAGGTACTATCTACAAATTTTTTAGCATTAATTGGGTTTTATTAGCACTAACTATTTATGCTGATGGTTTATGGATTTCCAATTTTATGAGCAGCTTCTGAATGCACCATCATCTGCCGTGGCCGCCCCAGCTGCAAAGAACAAGGTGGTTGCACAAGCTGAAGCAACTGGAAACGACGACACTGGGATAGACAGTGATTTACAGGCAAGGTTAGACAATTTGAGAAAAATGTAGTTTACTTGTGCAGTAGTTGGAAGTTGAAAAATTGGTGTATCCTTGTAACGTTTGTGAAGAATCTATGAACTCATGGTTTGGTACAGCTGATGCTGCAATAAAATTATGTTTTGACGTCTCATGCTTAATTCTTTCAGGCCATGTTTGTTTGGGTGGACATGAGCTTGGGATTGGACTAATAGTCCAATAAAATTATTAATCCGATGTTTGGTTAAATAATTGAAGTACGGATTAATTGTTTTAAACTTGACTATTAGTTAAGATAGGATACGTAATCCAACAAATTCGTAATCCTAGGACTATTAGTCATGGGAATGCTAATCCAGTCCGCCCAAACAAACATGGCCTCAGTGTAGTTTTATATATAGATTCTTCATTTTTTTGGGGTAAATTGCACTGACGTCCCTGAGGTTTCTAAAATGACACTAACCTCTCCCGGCAGTTTTGTCAGACAAAGAAAGTTGATGGAATGTGATATTTTACCATTTAAACCCTAATAGTATTTTTATTTTTATTTATATTAGTTCCAAAAACTCTTTTCCATATCCCTTACCATGGACCTCAGCACACTAGAGTCTACCCTAAGCCAACCTCTGGATCTCTCTTCCTGTTTCACATTCACTTCGCCACATCTCCCCTCTCCCCCTCGTCCTTATTCCCCTCTTCCACTTTCTCTTCCTCCTAACCATTCTCTCTCACAATCTGTGGACTCCTTTCCCTCCCCCTTCCTCCTCCGCCCCATGTCCTCCTCAACCACTCTCTCTCTCTCTCGCTGTCTCACGCTCTGCACTCCTCAGGGGAGGTTTTTGATTAGATTCAAGGTAGTCATGACGCCTCTTGGACTGATATTCCCATTGTTTTTGGTCTTTTTTTTCCTTCTTGATGGTAGCGCTTCCAGCTACGACTAAATTACTCCAGGACATTACACTGATTTAGGTGAGAAAGTTGTAACCATCACATGAGGCTTTGTTGAGAGAGTTGTAACCATCATATAAGGCTTTGTTTGGAAGAGTTTTGGAATTGTGATTTTAGCTCTTAGTTTGCACATGGTGTTTGGTTGTGGTTTTTAAAAATTAATTTTACACTCACTTTTGAAAACTCGGCCTAAGACGGGAAAATTTGGACTAACCGGTCGTTCCACCAGACGTTCCACTGGTCGTCTGGCCAGTTGACCGGAACAGTACATAATTTTTTTGTTTTGACACATGTTAATTTTTATTTATTCAATAAAAAATGTTTTTTGAATTTTTTAAATTTTTTTATGAGTTTTAAATAGAATTTTGAGCTGTGTGTTTGGTTATGAATTGTAAATTTTTGTATCAAATATCATATGTCACATTAAAAATTTTCCACTCAATTCAAAACTCATTCACCAAAATTTTTACACTCAAATTATAATTTCAAAACTCATAAATTTAAAATATAATTTTATTCTCAAATTACATTTAGAAAATTTTTCCAAACGCAAATTAAGACTCCCTCCTAGTCTCACTCTCCTAATGGAAATGCGCCGGAGTTGTTTGCTAACATGATTTGAGTAGTTTGGTTACATAATGAGTTGCCTTTGAACGTGTTTTAATTTTAAAAAATTAAAAAATTAAGATTAGGAACTTGATTGAAACTCTTAGAGGCCGTATCTATATCTATCTATCTATATATATTTATAGATAAGTGGGCTGGTATTTTGTGTTGGGTCTTTTTTATTTATTTATTTTTTTATATGTATTTTGTTTTGGGGTTATCTCTTCTACGTGGAAAGTTTGTACTTATTTGTACCAAAATAAAATAAAAAATCAATGGATTTACACGTTTGACTATCGACTCACAAAAAACTGGATTTGGATCCTCTGCAAGATTATTGCAAAGATTGATTATTGGTGAGAATTTTATTACGTTAAATTAAACAAATTTTGACTGCACAAATTTTAAATATTTTAACAGCAGTGAAAAGTAGTCCAAATTAAATAAAGTAGGATCCTATGCAATAATCAATTTTCACAAGAATTACTCAATTTAATTTTCAATAGTAAAAGTAGTTCAAATTAAATGAAGTTGGATTCTATGCAATAATCAATTTTCACAAGAATTACTCAATTTAATTTTCAATAGTAAAAGTAGTTCAAATTAAATGAAGTTGGATTCTATGCAATAATCAATCTTCGCAGAAATCTTGCAGAACTCATTCTAACTTTCCTTTCAACTTGATTACTTTAGCTTTATGAGTTTTACAAGATTATTACTGTAAAGATTAAGAATGGTTCCAAGTTTGGCATATGGCTAAAAAGTCAAAGAGTCACTCAAAAAAGTTAAAAAGTTATCATTATTCACCAAAAGTCAAAAATTATGGCTGCACAACTCTCAATACTAATATTCTCTTATACACTAATTTATATAATTTTTTAATACACATTTTTCTATAAAAAGTCAAAAAGTTAACCCAAACAATCATATTTTTTTTCTCAATTTTATAGTCTAAAAAATCAAAAAGTGCACTTATTTAGGATATCCCAAACAACCCCTAAGAGTCTTAGGCCGACACACTCAAATAGAAAATTCCTATATAAAATGTGAGTATCGCTATTCTAACCTAAAAATTACTCATTTTTTGAATTTAGGGGTTGTTTAGGGTGTCCTAAATAAGTGTATTTTTTGTCTTTTTAGACTAAAAAGTTGAGGGAAAAAATATGGATGTTTGGGTTAACTTTTTGACTTTTTATGAAAAAATATATATTAAAAAATTATATAAATTAGTGTGTAGGGGAAAATCAGGATTAGGAGTTGTGCAGTCGTAATTTTTGACTTTGGTGAATAGTAATAACTTTTTAACTTTTTGAGTAACTTTTTGACTTTTTTTACACTTTCCAAACTTGGCCTTAATAATGTGTTAATCTATTAGAATATCTAAGATAATATTCTCTCTCCCCCTCTCTCTCTCTCTTTGATATTTTTTTTTAATTATTAACCAATCATCTCAGTCACACATCATTAAATCTAGAAAATGAAGTTGTATATCATTTTTCATAAAATGTATGTAGAATGTTATGATAGATTTAAGGGGAAGTTCCAATGCAGTGTTGGTTTTGAAAAAAAATTACAAATAAATGATAAACTTCATAAGTATTAATAATTAAAAGCTTAAACTTTTTTATCAATCTGTAATTATTTTTTGACAACACCAGTGATTAGTAATTTCCACTAGATTTATGAAGATGCGTCTTACAATTAAAAAAAATGGTTAATTATATTTTACTATCACCAAATATCACTTTCTTCAATTTTAAAATTGTATATTTAAATCCCTCAACTATTGAAATTAATTTACTTTTCACCCTTCCTGAAGAGGGTTTTTGTTTTTTTTTTTATATAGTTGAGTAGTGTGGAGATATATTTTCTGAATACCAACACGTGGCATGGTGACGCCGACGTGTCAGCCGAGATGCCACGTGCCCTGGTAGTTAAGCCGAGGTAATCTCGGAGAAGCCAAGGTCATCTCCGAAGATATCGGAATCCGAGATATGGGGCAAGAGTCCTAAGGCAAAGAGGGGACTTAATCAAGATAAGGATAGAGCTCTTTGGGAGTTTATCTTTATCACTTAAAAGAGTCCAGAGTAAACAGTAAATTAGAGTTCATAGAAGTCATAGTTCTAGTGGGACTTGGATTGAGTATATTATAAAAGAGAGGCACCCCGGTGGGTCTAAGGTATGCAATTTATGCTTTGAGTACTCAGTTTAGTACTTGATTATCTTTGAAAGATATACTGACTTGATCGTCGGAGTGCCCCCGGGTGGAAGAACCACCGCCGGAGCTTTTTCTTTCTGTTTCAAGTTGCTTAAGCCATCTATTCTGCTTGTGCTCTCCAACTGATCATTAAACGGGCAGTGTGATCAGATTTTCACCCACACACAAACTATCAAAATATGTGAACAAAATAAAATTGTACATTTGATCAAAACAATGAAATTTATAATTTATTTTCGAACCCAATTTTAATAATTTCTCATCAGCATTTTACACTCCGGAGTGTATTTGTATTTACCGAAACTGTTTTGTACAGTAGAAAATTCTCAGTCGTTAGTGGTAGTAGTGCCACTGAAGGGTACGACAGAGTAGAGTAGAGTAGAGGAGCGAGAGAGAGAGCGCTTGCTTGGTAGATGTCAGCTGCTTGAAGTTTTTTCGGTACATGTCTCTCTCTTGAATTTCTTGCATTTCGAATGGTATATGATGATTTCACTGTGATGTCCATCTTTACTTTTAGCTTGAGTTCTTTGTTCTATCAAATGAGGTTCTTCAGCAGCTTTAGCTAGCTAAAAATGGGTTTCTCATTCGTCATTCTTCTTTTTTCTACTATTCTTTGAAGGGTTTCAGCTGAGTTCTTGGAAGTTTGCTTAATTTGTTGTTGTTGTTTTTGTTTTTGTTTTTTTGTTTTCCTAATTAATTTGTTCTTTGAAGGGTTTCATCAGTTGAGTTATTGTAAGTTTGCTTAATTTGTTGTTGTTGTTGTTGCTGTTTTTTTTTTTTTTCCCCCTAATTCATTTGTTTTTTTATTTTTTTTATAAAATTTTAAATAACAAAGCCTACTAATCCAATAAAATAAAATAGTAGAATGCATCGAGTTGTGCACCCCGCAAGTAACGTAATTAATCATAAACATGCGGTCTACGCAAGTAATGAAATTGATTGAATGCAGGCAAAATGCAATGAGATGCGTAAAACCGCGCGATGCGTTTTAGACAACGCGAGCGCACAAGACAGTGCGATTGATATGCGATACGCATGGGGCAACTTTTGAGTTTTGTAAAAGCCAAAAGGATACGAAAAGGATACAGCTTGCACGAATCCGAGTGCCACGCACAAATCTGACCCAAACAAGGATGCAGGAGGCTCACCGGCCGGAAGAGGAGGCCACCGGCTGTCCATCGGCCATCAATACATTCCACCGGCCAAACATGTAGCCGACCGGCCAAAAATGCCTAAATCGGGGCAGATTCGACTTTTCACCTCGGGTCTTTTAAAATAGGGTTCCAAACCCTATTTTACACATCCTCCTTAGCCGAAAATCCATTCCCTCTCTCTCTAGAGCATTTTTCTCTCTTCCTTTCTCCGTTTCTTCGCGTTTCACG